GGTGTGGGGGAAAGAGGTGGGGGGGTGACAACGTTTTGAGCGGTGCGACAGAGAGGGGTGTGGAGGAGCAATGGCAACTGACACCCCCTCCCACCACCATGGAAATAATGGAACAGCGCCCAGCCTCGCCTGATGGGAGGGAGTCGGGTCACTGAGAAGGCAGTCGGATATGGCCCAAAGCTTGAGCCGCGTTGCGCCACGAACATAAATTAGAACGTGTCATGCGCTTAAAAAAGGTTGCGAGTAAACAACTGAATAAATGCGTGTTTAACCATGCACCTACACACAGACACACAGACACAGACCCCCCCCCCCCCCTTCCCGTATAGTCGGAATAGACTTTTGGGGTAAGTGCTGTTAGCGAGCAGCTATGAAATTCGACCCGGCACACTCAAGAAGATGGGTGGCCAACGCCACACCAGGCCGTCTTTGTCTCCCTCGTGGTGACGTTTACACACCGCACCAGGTACACATGTGAGGCTGAGTCGATTTGTGGAGGCCCAGCTCCAGTGCGGATAATCATCGCCGATGTTGGCTGTGAACGGGAACATAATTCGGGTCGCTGGGTTCGTAGCGCAGCACGCGAACCGCTACACAAGCGCTACTACGCACAAACACAAATATCCCCCGTATAGCCTTAGACTTTGCTGAGGCAGTGCTATTAGCAAGCACGTATTAAATCTCGTAAAGATATTGTGTGGTCAGAACCATGCCCTGCCGCATTTGTCTCCTCCGTTCTGATGCTTCCCCACCCCACACCCAGTACTCAATGGAGGCTGAAGTTACATCGATCAGTCATAGGACGGCTTTAGATACTGCGGCTTGAGATGCTACGGCTTGAGATGCTACGGCTTGAGATGCTACGGCTTGAGATGCTGCGGCTTTAGATACTACGGCTTGAGATGCTACGGCTTGAGATGCTACGGCTTGAGATGCTACGGCTTTAGATACTACGGCTTTAGATACTACGGCTTGAGATGCTACGGCTTGAGATGCTACGGCTTGAGATGCTACGGCTTGAGATGCTACGGCTTGAGATACTACGGCTTGAGATACTACGGCTTGAGATACTGCGGCTTTAGATACTACGGCTTGAGATGCTACGGCTTGAGATGCTACGGCTTTAGATACTACGGCTTTAGATACTATGGCTTGAGATGCTACGGCTTGAGATGCTACGGCTTTAGATACTACGGCTTGAGATACTACAGCTTTAGATACTACGGCTTGAGATGCTACGGCTTGAGATGCTACGGCTTTAGATACTACGGCTTTAGATACTACGGCTTGAGATGCTACGGCTTGAGATGCTACGGCTTTAGATACTACGGCTTTAGATACTACGGCTTGAGATGCTACGGCTTGAGATGCTACGGCTTTAGATACTGCAGCTTTAGATGCTACGGCTTTAGATACTGCGGCTTTAGATACTGCGGCTTTAGATACTACGGCTTGAGATGCTACGGCTTGAGATGCTACGGCTTGAGATGCTACGGCTTTAGATACTACGGCTTGAGATGCTACGGCTTGAGATGCTACGGCTTTAGATACTACGGCTTGAGATGCTACGGCTTGAGATGCTACGGCTTGAGATGCTACGGCTTTAGATACTACGGCTTGAGATGCTACGGCTTTAGATACTACGGCTTGAGATGCTACGGCTTGAGATGCTACGGCTTTAGATACTGCGGCTTGAGATGCTACGGCTTTAGATACTGCGGCTTTAGATACTGCGGCTTTAGATACTATGGCTTGAGATGCTACGGCTTGAGATGCTACGGCTTGAGATGCTACGGCTTTAGATACTACGGCTTGAGATGCTACGGCTTGAGATGCTACGGCTTTAGATACTACGGCTTGAGATGCTACGGCTTTAGATACTACGGCTTGAGATGCTACGGCTTGAGATGCTACGGCTTTAGATACTACGGCTTGAGATGCTACGGCTTGAGATGCTACGGCTTGAGATGCTACGGCTTTAGATACTACGGCTTGAGATGCTACGGCTTTAGATACTACGGCTTGAGATGCTACGGCTTGAGATGCTACGGCTTGAGATGCTACGGCTTGAGATACTACGGCTTGAGATGCTACGGCTTTAGATACTACGGCTTGAGATGCTACGGCTTGAGATGCTACGGCTTTAGATACTGCGGCTTTAGATACTGCGGCTTTAGATACTACGGCTTGAGATGCTACGGCTTGAGATGCTACGGCTTGAGATGCTACGGCTTTAGATACTACGGCTTGAGATGCTACGGCTTGAGATGCTACGGCTTTAGATACTACGGCTTGAGATGCTACGGCTTGAGATGCTACGGCTTTAGATACTGCGGCTTTAGATACTGCGGCTTTAGATACTACGGCTTTAGATACTACGGCTTGAGATGCTACGGCTTGAGATGCTACGGCTTGAGATGCTACGGTTTTAGATACTACGGGTTTAGATACTGCGGCTTTAGATACTACGCGACACTGATACATTTACATGCATGGGGATGTCAGGTCGCCAGGTTTACTGAGCGGTGCACAAATTACTCATCTTGCCGCAACCAAAGACAAAGTTCCCCCGTATAGCGTGAAACAGACTGCTGGAGCAAGTCCTGTTAGTGAGCACCGATGAAGGCCGGCACGGCACACTGAAGGGATCTGTCGGCAACACCACGCCCGGCCGCCTTTGTCTTCCGAGTGGCGATGTTTACACACCGCACTGGATACTCATTTGAGGCTGAGTCGACCTAGAGGAGGCCCAGTACCGGTTCAGATAATCGTCACTGGTGTTGCTAGCCGTGAGCGGGAATCGAACAAACATCCCTCCACACACATCACACCGGATGTGCTGTGCACTCACCGGTTGCTCGCTTAACCACAAGGGACCCCAAGACGAACCGTTCCTATGCGGTTTTGCCAAGCTTGCCATGGGCGAGCCTCGCAACTCTGTCAAATGCTGCCTCCCCATGGCGGAGAAGATCCACACATCGCTGCATATTCGACCCGACGCTCATCGCCCCCTTACACGTGTGCTGGGCATGTCGCGGTGCGTCGAATCGTTAAAATTCTCGCGCTCGCGGCACACGTGCCGTGAATCGCACGCGTGAATATCTGTCGACAAATGATTTCCCGAGTGGCAAATTATACGCACGTAATTTTACCAGCGGAAATGACCCGGCGCCTGTTGCCTTCGGGATAATTGAGTAGACAGCTGCACAAACGAGACGAACCAATGACACAAAAACCACACACACAAATTAGAACTCAAAGGATTGATCCTCAAATGAATTCGAGCCTCTTACTGTGCCTGCTGCGCGAATACTTCTCTAAATATGAAGGGAGCTCGGATATTGAAGAGGAAAGAACAGAGAGCAGTGTTGCCCAAGGTGGCCTCCCAGCTGATATGCTGGTCACGCTCTCTCCGTCACAATGGCGAGATGTTAACTACCTCGCCTGGTATGCAGGAGGTCGTGGGTTTGATCCCGACCCCGACGCCTACTGTATATTTGGAGTTTGCGTCTCTCTCCTCGTGGTCACATGGATTTCTCTACCGGTCCTCCGGTTTATCCCTCCACATTTAGAGTCAACGTAACGTGTTTAGAGAATTTGGCTGCTATGCATTTTCACGTCATGATAAGCCACTTCGTTGAGCTAACATTTGCGACCAGGTCGCCTCTGAAAAAGAGCTACGTAGCTCAGTGGGCATTACTTGGTAAAATAAAAAAAAATAGTTTAGTTTAGTTAAATTTATTTCACAAAGGGTAACCTTCTAAATCAATCCCAGCAGAATGATGGGCTGAGTCAACCCCAGCGAGGATTGGAACTCGCAACCTTGAGACTGTAAGTCGAGAATTCTTTCCCACAATGCGAGCACATTGAGGTTATGGGACGGTGCACATTTGCTCCCCCCCTGATTGTGCCAATGGCATCGCGTTATGAGACGAAGATTCGGAATCCTCGTAGGGCAGTGCGGCCGTTCGCGTTGCGCCACTCTGCGGCCCGCGGAAGCAGATACTACAGAGCCACTACTTGAGAGATCGATTCACGCGACCTCTGGTCCACACGAGAACACAGATCGTCGGTTGAACCAAACCGTCATGTTTTCATCATCATCAGATCTGGAATGTGGCCTAATTAAGTTCAGAACCAGACGTTTTATTTCATCTGTGAATGAATTAGGAATAGTGCCGAGACTATTAGCTCACTGCAATTACGAGCCCGGTTTAAGCACAGAGGGCGGCGGAAGCCCACAATTTGAGACGAAGATTTCGCCAGTGCCGACTCAGCGCTCTCACTCCCGGAGTCAGCCGGTCATCCCACCGCTGTGTGTCATCGTCAAGGACAATTGCAGTGCCCATCGATGCAAATGTAGCCAGTGTCACCCGAGGAGCGAGGGCCATGGCAAAATATTTCTAAACACTCGGCTCAGCTCAAAATATAGTGGGGTTCGGTTGCAACAGTTTCATAATGTTGATCTTTACGTTTTAATCAATCATCCATTTTAAATGTACAAGCCAGACAGAGGCTAATGCTGCGGTTGCACTGCCGGTAGCTTACCCCACCGTGTTTGCCTTGCAGTGGATATCTTATCGTAAATGAGCTCTTCTGAAATCGGTAGCTGGATTTATTTCTATTTTTTACATGAAATATATAAAAACACAGAGAGTGTGAGTGTGTGTGTAAGTCAAACGAGTGTAGTGTCTTCACAATCACTCAGACTGACACGTTGTAACAAGTCACCTGCTTACACTTTGTTGATCTATTCTTGCACCAGTTGTAGACACTCCTAGAACTGTCTGTACTGTCACTTAGATCTAAATTCTCCCACTCGTATCTATGTTACACCTCACTTATCCTGCCCTCGGCAGCTCTGCTCTCAGCGTCTCCACACACAGCGTCTCCACACACAGCGACTCTGCTCACAGCGACTCCGCACTCAGCAACTTTGCACACAGCAGCTTCTACAGCTCCACCGCTGCCCTCACCTACGCTCCCTCAGACCCGCTCACCCGTCTGTCTTGGCCGGGGGGATCAGCCATCACCCGCCCGGCGACGCGTGAGGGTTGAGGTCCCTTTGACGGCTGGAGCGGCAGCGGCAAGACGTCTTCACTCTTGTCCCCAGCAACAACTACCCCGCTCCGCTCACGCACACGCCCTTACATCCCGCTGCCAATTATCCGAGACCTCCCGTGTGTCTCTTTAGGCTCAGTCAGGCTGGCGCCTGGATGCCCATTAATGAACCCTTATCTCCCGTCTCCCTGGTAACACCTCCGGTGTCAACGTCCACAACCGGTCGACCCCGTTTGCACCTGCTTAGCCCCCTGCAACTGGCGGTTTGTCCGTGCAACCCCAACGTTGCACACGCGCACCTGTTTGCCCTCAGTTGCCCTCGGCTAACTGTGCACACTGCGTATTTCACCCCTTTACACGAGTATTTCACTTTAACATGTAGGCTTTTGCGACCAATTCCATCCATAATAGAGGTGTTTTGGGTTAAATCGCGTGAATATATAAATGTGTCGTGATATCCGCCACCACCCGACACAGCCAACTAGTAAGGGTTGTCACGTTAACAGTGTCAGATGGTGACAGTCTGAGAGGTGAAATTAAACATGTTAAAGAAGCACTGCAAATGCACGGTTACAATGATGCACAAATCAACAGAGCATTTAATGCCAAAACCAAATCAAATAACAAGAGCATTGAAATTGCCCAAGTAATTAAAACTATCAAAATACCGTACATTGCGGGAGTTACTGATAAACCAGCCAGATGTTTGGAAAAACAAAGCATCCGAGTCAGATTTGGCACGCTGCATAAAATACATCAATTAATATCTGGTACAAAAGATATATTACCGAAGCTATCAGCAGAAGGTGTGCATCGGATTAACTGCACTTGTGGTAAATGTTTTGTTGGGCAAACAGGACGAATGATGAGTACGAGACTAAAAGAACACCAAAGGAATATAAAATTCTCCCAAACACCACTGTCAGCAGTAGCAGAACACGCGTGCCAAGAAGGACTCTCAATTGATTTTGATCATGTTGAAGTGCTGTGCAAAACTAGCTACTACTGGCCAAGACTAATTAGATAATCTATCGACATTTTAAGAAGTAAAAATAATTGTATCCCTTTGGATAGCTACCGACTTAGTGCTGTGTGGATGCGAATAATCAAATAATACATTGCTTAAATGCATTCCTATACAGGCCATCATACTTCAATAGGGATTACCGTTGGTACAGCTATTTTAATACACACAAGATCAATGGTACGTTGACTCAAGAGCGCAGAAGTGTGGTCACCACATCTACGCCTCAATATAAGGAACGAAACAGGTGGACTTCTCCTCAAATCTGGCTGTCGAAACGTCGTACTCAGATTGGGGGAAGGCAGCCAGGACCGGTCGCAAACAATTAGCCAAAGTTTTGTGGCCCTCAAGTGGGATGTTTGCGTATGATGGCAATATGTTGAGGTGATCAATGTACAGATTGCTCCAGGATAAATACAAATTCTACTTCTGAGGTCAACAGCATCATTAATTCATTCATCACGCGCGGTCAGCGAAGGACCATTGCGTCAAACGCGTGATAGCGTTTGCATGAACTGCTCTTTGCTGCCATAACAAAACAACTAAAAAGAACTATTTTCTATTTTACCAGGTAAGGCCCACTGAGCTATGTCGCTCTTTTTCCGAAGCGATCCGGCAATCACAAATAAAAGCTGAACATGTAGGGAATTTAAAGCAGCCAAATACTCTAATGCACGTTGATTCTAAATGTGGAGGGCAAAACTGGAGGACCCGGAGAAAAATCCACGCGACCACAAGGAGAACATGCAAACTCCAAATATACAGCAGGCATCAGGGTCAGGATCAAACCCACAAAGTCCAGGCGAGGTAGTTAACATCTCGCCACCGTGGCACCCCACCACTGTCTCGAGTCAGCAACTTAGCCGGGCCAAACATCGCCAGCCGGGGTCCTCTTAAAACCATTTGACGAGACCCCCTCCGTCTACACTGTCGACTCAGGGAAGTTCTGATGAACAACAAGGAGGGTGTCGGGTGGGGGGGGGGGGCACCGTGTGGCGTGACGATCATCTTCAGCCTCGCAGGAAGCACATGGGCTCAATAGAGAGATCCCAGTTGAAAGCCTGGCTACGTCTGGCACACAAGTGAATGCACGTGGACGCAGACTGACGATCAAAGCTGCGATGAGCTCGGCTGGAAAATTGGCACATTCCCTCCCCGTCTTGAATAACTTCGTTTGCAAGGTCCGTCTTTAATAACATCATATTTGTTGGCTATGGGCTGCTGCAAAACACATGGTCATGAACACATGCTTAGCCCGTCCGTCCGTTCACACGAAAAGCCGCCGCGTTTCTCGGTGAGATGGAGGAGCTCGCCGTAGGGCGTGCATTATTACCACGTGGAACTCTGCCTTCTTCGACGTTCATCGACGGCATGACTTTAATGGACATTAATGAGCACATGGCAGGCGGTGGACGCCTCCACTAGCGTCTGCTGGAGAAGATTCCACGTGACTATGACCCAAAGCGCCTGGTGTAACAATGGCCGTGTGACACACGGTGACTGGTGTAACAATGGCGGTGTGACACACGGTGACTGGTGTAGCAATGGCGGTGTGACACACGGTGACTGGTGTAACAATGGTGGTGTGACGCACGGTGACTGGTGTAACCATGTCAATGTGACACACAGCGACTGGTGTAACAATGATGGTGTGACGCACGGTGACTGGTGTAACAATGGTGGTGTGACACACGGTGACTGGTGTAACAATGGTGGTGTGACGCACGGTGACTGGTGTAACAATGGTGGTGTGACACACAGCGACTGGTGTAACAATGGTGGTGTGACGCACGGTGACTGGTGTAACAATGGTGGTGTGACACACGGTGACTGGTGTAGCAATGGCGGTGTGACACACGGTGACTGGTGTAACAATGGTGGTGTGACGCACAGTGACTGGTGTAACAATGGTGGTGTGACGCACGGTGACTGGTGTAACAATGGTGGTGTGACGCACGGTGACTGGTGTAACAATGGTGGTGTGACGCACGGTGACTGGTGTAACAATGGTGGTGTGACGCACGGTGACTGGTGTAGCAATGGCGGTGTGACGCACGGTGACTGGTGTAACAATGGTGGTGTGACGCACAGTGACTGGTGTAACAATGGTGGTGTGACGCACGGTGACTGGTGTAACAATGGTGGTGTGACACACGGTGACTGGTGTAACAATGGTGGTGTGACGCACGGTGACTGGTGTAACAATGGTGGTGTGACGCACGGTGACTGGTGTAACAATGGTGGTGTGACGCACGGTGACTGGTGTAACAATGATGGTGTGACACACGGTGACTGGTGTAACAATGGTGGTGTGACGCACGGTGACTGGTGTAGCAATGGCGGTGTGACGCACGGTGACTGGTGTAACAATGGTGGTGTGACGCACGGTGACTGGTGTAGCAATGGCGGTGTGACGCACGGTGACTGGTGTAACAATGGCGGTGTGACGCACGGTGACTGGTGTAGCAATGGCGGTGTGACACACGGTGACTGATGTAGCAATGGCGGTGTGACGCACGGTGACTGGTATAGCAATGGTGGTGTGACGCACGGTGACTGGTGTAGCAATGGCGGTGTGACACACGGTGACTGGTGTAGCAATGGCGGTGTGACGCACGGTAACTGGTGTAGCAATGGTGGTGTGACGCACGGTGACTGGTGTAGCAATGGCGGTGTGACACACGGTGACTGGTGTAGCAATGGTGGTGTGACGCACGGTGACTGGTGTAGCAATGGCGGTGTGATGCACAGTGACTGGTGTAGCAATGGTGGTGTGACGCACGGTGACTGGTGTAACAATGGCGGTGTGACGCACGGTGACTGGTGTAGCAATGGCGGTGTGACACACGGTGACTGGTGTAGCAATGGCGGTGTGACGCACAGTGACTGGTGTAGCAATGGCGGTGTGACGCACGGTGACTGGTGTAGCAATGGCGGTGTGACGCACGGTGACTGGTGTAGCAATGGCGGTGTGACGCATGGTGACTGGTGTAGCAATGGCGGTGTGACGCACGGTGACTGGTGTAGCAATGGTGGTGTGACACACAGTGACTGGTGTAGCAATGGCGGTGTGACACACAGTGACTGGTGTAGCAATGGTGGTGTGACGCACGGTGACTGGTGTAGCAATGGCGGTGTGACACACAGTGACTGGTGTAGCAATGGCGGTGTGACGCACGGTGACTGGTGTAGCAATGGCGGTGTGACGCACGGTGACTGGTGTAGCAATGGTGGTGTGACGCACGGTGACTGGTGTAGCAATGGCGGTGTGATGCACAGTGACTGGTGTAGCAATGGTGGTGTGACGCACGGTGACTGGTGTAACAATGGCGGTGTGACGCACGGTGACTGGTGTAGCAATGGCGGTGTGACACACGGTGACTGGTGTAGCAATGGCGGTGTGACGCACAGTGACTGGTGTAACAATGGCGGTGTGACGCACGGTGACTGGTGTAGCAATGGCGGTGTGACGCACGGTGACTGGTGTAGCAATGGTGGTGTGACGCACGGTGACTGGTGTAACAATGGTGGTGTGACACACGGTGACTGGTGTAGCAATGGCGGTGTGATGCACAGTGACTGGTGTAGCAATGGCGGTGTGATGCACAGTGACTGGTGTAGCAATGGTGGTGTGACGCACGGTGACTGGTGTAACAATGGTGGTGTGACACACGGTGACTGGTGTAGCAATGGCGGTGTGACACACGGTGACTGGTGTAGCAATGGCGGTGTGATGCACAGTGACTGGTGTAACAATGGCGGTGTGACGCACGGTGACTGGTGTAGCAATGGCGGTGTGACGCACGGTGACTGGTGTAGCAATGGTGGTGTGACGCACGGTGACTGGTGTAACAATGGTGGTGTGACACACGGTGACTGGTGTAGCAATGGCGGTGTGATGCACAGTGACTGGTGTAGCAATGGCGGTGTGACGCACGGTGACTGGTGTAGCAATGGTGGTGTGACGCACGGTGACTGGTGTAGCAATGGTGGTGTGACGCACGGTGACTGGTGTAGCAATGGCGGTGTGATGCACAGTGACTGGTGTAGCAATGGCGGTGTGATGCACAGTGACTGGTGTAACAATGGCGGTGTGACGCACGGTGACTGGTGTAGCAATGGCGGTGTGACGCACGGTGACTGGTGTAGCAATGGCGGTGTGACGCATGGTGACTGGTGTAGCAATGGCGGTGTGACAC